CTAAGGGCCCAATTTTCAGTTATCAGCTGAACATTTAACCCACCGCACCATCAAGACACCAGCTTAGGCAATTATGTCTTTATTCATTTTGTGTGTGTGTGTGTATCTTTCTCAAGAGTTGGTTTCAGGGGCAGAGAATTGTTTAATGTGGCTCTTTTAGCCAAATTCCTCCCAAATGACCTTTCCCTACATGGGTCTGTTTGGGGGGGGGGAGATATCGATAGGATTTGCCTGTAAGTATAAACAGAGTTCCCTGGAGTGCCATCCTGCTGCCTGTACAATATGCCATCTGAGGAGCGGGAGGGAATCTCATTTCCAACAAGAGCCAGGAGTGGAGCTCGTCATTGGGCCCAAGATCTGTTTCGTGAACCTGGATCCAGAAGACAGATCAGAGTAGTAGCAGTAGAACCAGGAGCCAGAGTATGGACTAGGATGATGAACTTCTCAACCCGCACAGCAAGGATAGGCTATTGCTTTTTGCAGGAGGCAGGTTTGCGGAGTAGGGTGCCTCTAAGCACTTAATTGGGGAAGCTGGACTCGCTGACCCATGGAAGTTGAGCCGAGTGCCTTCGGGCTGAGGCTTACTGGAGTGGGGTACCTCAGGGCACTGAATTCAAGAAGTTGGGCTTGGTGACTCCTGGAGCTTAAACGGAATCTTTCCGGTGAAGGCCTATAGCAGAGTGGTATGCCCTATGGGCCTTTATTAGCAAACCCCACAGAATTTTGTAACATGTCCTGAGAAACAACTCAACCCCGAGTATTTGTCCCTGGCATTACAATTTATTAACTTCCTTAATAAGCCCTTTACTCATGGAATTCGTTTGTGAGTCTTGTGTAGCCATGGCAATGATGTTAGAACCCAGAGAGGAAAAATAGAGAACATTAATTAAGACAGCTAAGTATTCCAAGAGTTAATTGAGATAAATGTGAACTACTACATCAATTCCTCATATCCGCATTCTTGTATTCCTAGAAGTAGCTTAATAAGATAAACATATGTAGCAGAAATACGGTTTGGTCTAAATATCAAAGTTTATTGAAATAAAATATAATCTATAATAAAAAATACTAAGGATGTTATCACTGGTTACAGTTTTAAGTATATTAACAAAAAATTCCAACATTTGAATCCAACAATGACACTATCCCTTTGTGGTACAATAACAAACATGAAATTAAATGTTGAATAATACTGAAAAATTCGGTAAGAATTAGTTTATACTTTCCAAGCTATGTTCAATATGTCCTTTTTAGGAATTTCCTCCAAAAGTGAAACTTCTGAAACTGAACACATTTAAAAAATGAAGTAGTTTGAGCATCAGTAGCCTTTAAAACAATAAACTTTTTTCTTAGAGCTTTAGTTAGACCCTAGCAGGTGGATGCTCTTAAGGGTCTTTCTTTAAAGAATGCATTTCATTGCTCTTTCCTGTTAATCTCTCGGGCTGCTGTTCTTCTTAAACTAATTGGAATTAAAGCTGGTCATAGAACAAAACAGAGGAAACAGCAAGAGTGTTAAGATGGTAAAGGAAAGGAGAGAGAATAGGCACTGGTACACAACCTTAAAACTCATTGACACCTCTCTCTCCCTTGGCCGGCCAATCCTGAGCTGGCACACACAGACCCATCGGAGCAGCTCCGTGACCAGGGTCGGCCTGGTAGGTGAGCGCCAGAGGAGAACCGGTCCCTCTGGCTGTATTTCAAGATCACTTTTTGGGCAGTCATTATACCACTGCATGCCACAATCCCAATTATTCTGCACAATACAAGGACAAACCTTCACATGCACTGGCCTTAGGAAAGGGCTTCTAAGGCGCCCCTGAAGTTTCTACCAGTACGAGTATATCCTGTTTGCTTGCGACATGCTGGGTAGCCATCGACCTCTAATCTCGTACACTGCTCTACAGTGATTGAAAGGATGTTCTCAATTGATGCAAAAGCCATTCGAGACTTTTCAAAACTTCATCTTTAAAAACCAAAAGCTAAAATATCCTATGCATTCTGAAAAAAAAAAAGGTGGTCATACAATGAAAATGTAAAAAAACCATACATACACAGTGACAAGATTGAGACACAGGATAGATCTTCACAAAGTCAGTACCAAACTTAGTATTAAAACATTCTATTAGTTAGAACTGCATTATAGGGTATTTCAGTCACAATGCCTAATTGAACAGGCCTCTTGTTTGGGAAATTAAATGGGCATTTGAGTTTCCTTTTTTATTAAAAGCTGGAAAAATAGTTTCCAGGCCAAAGGAACCAGGTTGCGTCAAAAGAATTTTGTTTTGTGCACCCTCAAATCTATGAGAAACGCCCTTGCCTCTCAAAGCAGACCACATCAGTAAAGATGGATAGAAAGTTTTAAAAATTAGTGGTGACAAATCATTGAGTGGTTTGGAGAATCCTTAGATTAATAGCACATAAAATAGACTCATTGTATAAAGATAATACACTTTCTTTTTGAAATATACTGTAGTCCAAGGTTTGGGTGTTGTGTTTGTGCCATAGTAATTCAACCCCTTGCTGGGAGAGAGTAGGGTACCAGACCCTAAAGCATCACCTCTGCTAGGCAGACGGATGGCAATCTTCTCAGGACAACAGGACCAAGCTGTGCTTGAGCCTATAGTTGAAGACTTTTACCCTGTTTTTCGAGTATAATTTTCTTGAGATCAGAAAAGTGGATTTAGAAACTAGAATCCTTCATGTAAAAATATATATACCTATCACAATTTATTAAACTCTACTTCCTAGTAGCAGAAACACCACGATTATGTATGATTTAAAATTTAGATCTGCAAAATAAAACTTATCAGAGTCCTGTAATTGGTTCTTCAGACTCTGTTATCTCTATTTTGCTATTTGTTTTGTTTTTTTTTTTTTGTTTTTTTTGCTATTTGTTTTGCTCAGGAAACCTCAACTTAAATTTTTAAGTTTTTCTTAAAAGTGTCACTGGAGAAAAATAACCTTGATTTTGAATAATGTCTTCACAACAGTTCTGGGAATTGGACATGAGTACCCAGACATGAGAATATCCGAGAAGCTAAGAGCTCTCTGATTCTAATGAGTTCTTTTCCTATTTTTCAGTCATTTTCTAAAAGGAATTTAAGTGCACATTATCATGTAACACCTAATACCACAAAACCCAAATGATTTAGCCCTAAAAAGTTCTATCCATGCAGAAGGCTTACATATATGTATTAGTAACCTGATATTGTAATTTTACCCCATGGAGGAAAAGACAAGAGGGGTCTAAGTATGTAGATCTGCGAAAGATGTTGGGGGTTTGGGGGAGCAGTTAGGTGCTTTTATGTTCCCTAAGTACCTTTGATTTTGACCTTATAGTCTACAAGACACAAAAATTACTGTAAAATGCATTTTGGGACAAAACTATGCCATATTAAAAAATAAGGTCATTTTACAAATGTTGACAGCATTTATAAAAAAAACCCAAAACAAAACAAGTATTTTTGAGAAAAAAAGTCTACACATTCAAGAATAAAGGCTGTGAATATCTGTGATTATTTAAGTAATACATTGTGACTTAAAAGTACTAGAAAAAGAGGGTCTTTAATGTATTTAAAGAGCAGAGTACGGAGGCACAGGGAGTTTGCCTAAGGCGAGATAGAAATTCAGGCTTTTAAAAATGAAGTGATTCAGAATTCTACATATTCAGTTCCTTAAAATATAAACTACAGTCTATGTTTAGTGCCTCCATCTTATCTTCTTAAATATTTAGTTTTTTTATAATATTTTAAGTTGTACGCATAACTATTCTATGATGGGTGAAGCCCGTACAACAGAGACAGAGTGAAGCTTTTATTTCATCAGTGATATTAAGGACAAATTTTACCTGCCTTTTCTCTACTGCAGTTTCACAAATATCGTTGCAAAAGTCAATATTGATAAAGGAACCACAATTCTCTCCTTAAATATTTATTTGGCTTCTAGTTTTCGTCTAAGATCTTTTTTCTGCTAATAAACTGAGTTTATGATTTATTGAAAAAATAGTAGGTTTTGTGACAGTAAAGAAATGGGTAATGTTTAGTTCAGTGAACTAAACTCTGATACTAACTTGCTTTATTAAACTAAGATTAAGAAGTATGAGAAAGAATTCTAAAAATATTAGTCTAAGTACTAAGTAGTCAAATACTGGAAATGTGTGACAATAATTAAAAGAAATAGTCTAATCTTAAACTTAAATCTGTGGTCCACTCAATGATTTCTAAAAAGACACCTTAAAACATGGAGGAAGTTACTTTACGTCGGCGGTTCTCAACCTGTGGGTTACGACCCCTTTGGGGGTCGAACGACCCTTTCACAGGGGTCTCCTGGTTCATAACAGTAGCAAAATGACAGGGATGAAGTAGCAACAAAAATCATGTTATGGGTGGGGGGTCCCCACCACATGAGGAGCTGTATGAAAGGGTTGCGGCGTTAGGAAGGTTGAGAACCTCTGCTTTATGTAAACACACCTGACTGGCTTATGAAGGGACTTCAAAAGGTTCGTGGGAAAAAATGGAATGAAAAGATAATAGAATTTTTCTTATTTTGGGGGGGGTAATGGAATTTTTCTATGAACGTTTGTAGCCCCGTCATATGATAGAAAGCAGCCAATTCACAGATAGGAACTGGAAATACAGTGAACCCAGGACAGATGAGCCCCCCAGGACCAGTGGAGAGAGTGGCGATGGTGGGAGGGTGGAGGGAAGGAGAG